GAATTTTAATTTACATACAGGTAATCTAAATACTAGTCCCATGAGTAAATTACGCAGGCAAGCATACTGTCACTGTGAAAAACATCCAAACGTGTAGAGAATATTTATGAGTTTATTTGAGCCACATGGCTGGGGAGCAAGATCTCAGATGTTCCGAAGAATAACAATTCGGCAGCTTTTTTTATGCATTTGGAATTAAGGAGGGGATGTAATGAAGTTTACATGAAAGTGGGAGAAAGTACGTTGGGGGCTGGATTACAGAAGTCACGATGAAGAGCTCTTTTGAGGATGGATATTTCAAAGATGTGTTAACCTAGATGCACAGAAACAACTGACCGTGTTTGCATGAGGCAAAGATAAACCTTTTACTAAAAAGTTATATGCCTGGAGCATGACCACCCACCACGATCTGCCCAGTTAGGAATTTATGACCAGATCACCCTGTGAGGTTACTTTCCGTAGAACCCCCTTTATTTGGTCCACAATACTGAGCTACCTACTCTAAATGCATTAGTGTAATTAGGCCACTTCTGGAAAGCTTACTGCCTTAGTGCTTGTTCTCCAGCTCTCTACACATTCCTCTATTTCTCTGGCCCCTCTTTACTTTCTCCCTTCTCCCTCTAAAGTTCTAGCCTAAATCCTCTTCTTTCTGTAATTTCATCCCTTCCACATTTGTACGGCTCTGCCAGTTCTGTACCTCCCACATGCTTTATCTCCTCCAGTGTTCCAGGTTCCAACTTGCAATTATTTACCAAGGACTCCGCTGAAGACCTCAGTGCATCTTCATCTGAGTTCTCCATCTTCCCTTCATTAACACAAATCATTCAAAACCTGGAAACAAGGTGAAAGGACGGCTGAGTGCTATTTCAACGCACTGTGTCGCGCTGGCGCCGTGGTTCTCACAGTGCAGCCCTGGACCAGCAGCACTGGCATCACCTGGGAACTTGTTAGAGATGCAAATTCTCAGGTTCTACCTGAGGTCAACTGAATGAGAAACTCTGGGGCTGAGGCCCAGAAACCTATAGTTTCACAAGCCCTCTATGTGATTCTGATGATCATTCAACTCAGAACTACTGTGCTAGAACAGGATCGGCAAACTATGGCCCGGGGGCCAAATCCAGCCCAGTGCCTCTTTTTATAGTTTCGTTGGAACGTGGCTGCGTTATGGCACTTATTTATGTATCGTTTATGGCTGCTTTCACTCTACAGCAGAATTGAGCTGAGTAGTTGTGACAGAGACTGCGCGGCCCTCATAGCCTACAATATTTACTATCTGGCCCTTTACAGAAAAAGTTTGTCCACCTCTGGATGGAGGGCATCAATCATCAAAACCTCTTAAGGGTCACTTTTGGTCTAGGGAAAGGTAATTTTATGTGACTTACTATTTTTCATCAGGTGTGCCCAGAGTCTGTAAGTTAGGTGTCAATTATGAGAGATTGGTAAGTTGGAAATTATTTTTGTCTGATAATGATGAAAATGATTTTTCTTTGGTAGAATTTATCACAAAGACAAACATTTTATTGTCTCATAGAATGTTAGCCAGTTTTAGATCTAACCTAGCAATTGTATACCTTTTGATCTTTTCCTTTCATTCTCTCTCTCTCTCTCTCTCTCTCACTCTCTCGCGCGCGCGCGCACACACACACACACACACACACACACACACACACACACACACACAACCCATAGTCTTTTATATCCTCCTCTGACCCAGAATTTAGAAATTCTTCTAAAAAGAATTTAATGTAAATTCTTCTGGTTACTAATAAGTTAAATAAACCTTTTGCAACACGCTCACTCTATGCTGGTATAAGGCTCATATTTTTACCTTCCTGAAATTTCTCCTTTGACACTGATGACAGTTAATTCATCTTATATTCCCTGTCACTGTCATTGTCGTCCTTCCACCTCCCAGTTACATGGGTGTGAAACCAGGCACCCGCTCTGATTCCTTCCTTACTCTTCAAACAAATCAGTCTCCAAATCTCAGTGGTTTTACCCACTACAGCTTCTCCTGGAGCCAGCCTCTCTGTTTCCATGTAACGCCAGTGTAAGTCCTTATTCAGCCTTTCCTGAATTGTTACAACAGCCCCTACCTGGCTCTGTGTAATTGATCATCTACAGGAGGCTGCTGGGAAAATATCCCCAAGGAAGACCTCAGGCCATTTCACTTCCCTACCCAAAACTGTTTGGTGGTTCCTCACTGTCGAGCAGCAAGGGAAAGCCTTAGGTCCTTAGCCTGATTTTTCAACCTTCCTAAATTTGATCCCAAGCTCATTGTTCCTAACTATTCGATCCCAAGCTCATCTTCCCTGACTTTTCACCCTTAGTAATAACCTCCATAATCTGTGACCATTTGCACTCTCTCGTTGCCTTCCTTCATATTGCCCCTCTGCCTGTCATACCCTCTTTCCTCTTTCCCCATGTCCAAACCTCAGTATTCCTTCACCCCCAGACTGAAGCCCCCTTACCCCATGCTGATCTTTTTATCCCAAGTCATTTCTCTCTGCTGTAAATTCCCAACACATTTAATTTGTATCTCTCTTATGGCACATATCACTTTTTATTTTGTGACATGGTCCTTTATGGTCTTTTCTGTGGTCTCATTGTAAGACAGCCTCTAGGTTCCAACTTTGTGTCCACATTGTTACACATTTGTGCTAATATTGATAAGAGCCAGGGAAATTTTTTGAGTAGGAGCTGTAGGAAAATAAAAATCTCAACTGAAAAAGTACCAAATTATTTTTTGAGTGTATAAAATCTCATCAAAGTATATTTTCCTAAACTATCTTTTTATGACTATTTTCTTTCCCTCATTTGAAAATATTGACTATTTAATATTGAAGGAGGGGAATGAACAGTCTTCAAAATTTAAATGATTCTTTCTTTCTTCTGTTTGGTGTATCTTTTCTCCATAAGTAAGATTTCATAATTGAATGTGACAAATCCCAGCAATTAATTATTCAGTGTTGTTTATTCATTAATGAAGATGATAGTTTTCTGTGTGGAAACATCCATCAAAAGGGCTCCCCGATACAAGTGTTTCTTCGTGAAGCCCTAAAATCTTTATTTGGTCTTTTAATTTATTAAGAAAATATAAGCGACATATCCATTTTTTTTTAACTGGGAGGGATATTAATGTCTAAATTTTGGGTGCCCCAAATGAATCAAGGCAAAGGAACTTATGGCACATCTGCGGTCTTCTATCTAATGGCTTTCATTACCATCACGTTATAATACAGTGAGTGTTTCTCTATATGAATGGATTTCTCACCGGTATCATCTGGGGAGCTTATTATAAAAGTATATTCCAGAGCCCTACCCAAACTCAGACTCTTCAGAGCAGGATTTCTAAGAATCTTTATTTTTTTTAGTTAAATTCCCAGATGATTCTTGTGCACCCTGAAGTTTGTGAGTCACAGGCTAGATTCTTATCCTCTTCTAAATTCAAACAAAAGCAGAAACCCCTATTGAATTGCCCAAGTGCACCTTAAACAAACCAAGAGAGTTGAGAGATTTTGTTCATCTTCTCTCCAGTCTCTAAGTGTTCCTTTTCTTTAATAACTTTACCTTCATGTTTTATTTTGAAAGTTTTTGAACACACGGAAAAGTTGAAACAATTGTACAGTGGACACTCATATACATACCTTAAATTAACAGGTTATTACCATTGCTTTACCAGAAGTCTAGCCTCTTATCCACCTCTCTATTCATCAACCCATCTCATATTTTCAGATGAATTTCTAAGTAAATTTCAGCTATCAGTAGTGTCTCAGCTGGGATGGTGGTGACTTGAAGAACAACCAGACAGTGAAACCCTTGCAGCCCTGGTGAAAACACAGTGGCCTCATTTGATTGGACAGAATTGGTGGCTGCTTGGCCTCAGCAGCACAGTAAGAATGCATTTAATCAAAAACAGAAGGATAGTGTGGGCAGGTTGTAGACAGCGCTGCAAAATAGTATCTACTTGTCTCTATTCATTTGAAGGAGTGCTTTTGTTTTGTTTCTGGAGCAAGAAAGGGAGGTTTGGAAGCAGGTGGAAGCAGTAACCCCTCCCTTCTTCTGTGGCTTTCGAGTTCCTAATGGAGGGAGAGGTTAGAAGGCAAGGTTTGCTGGTTTAATGATCAGCAGCAAGATTTCAAGTCAGACCGCTGAGGCTTGCGTTCCAGCTGCCTCTCTGGCTGTTTGACCTGCGATGTGATCCTCGCCCTCTTGGCCTCAGTGTTTTCATCTGTGAAATACAAATAATGATAGTACCTATATTGTATTTTTGTGGAGAAAATATGTGTGCCTGACAGGTAACGCAATCAACTTTAGTTGCTAAAATATAATTACATTCCTAGATAAGCTTCCATAAGTTCACACAAAATTAACTTATGTGACTGTAGCCGCTGAACAAGAAAGAGACAAGTAAACTAAATTACGTTGGTAAGTAAAACAGAGATGCAAAGGGCAGCAAGCCTCAAAGTTCTTCCAGGCAACCCATTGCACTTAAAATGAAACTTAATTTTTTTCCCTTGCCCTGCAAGGCCTTTCTCCCTTGCTTTGCCCTAATTACACCAGTTTTCAGCATGAGCCAAGCTCAACTGGTTCTCAGGGGATCTGTATTTTCTGTTCCTTGTTCCTTTTCAGTAATGTTTTTACCTTAAGGTTTAAGCGGTTGCCTCTCGGGGGCCCCACGCGGAGAACCTGGCCCGCAACGCGAGCATGTGCCTTAATTGGGAATCGAACTAACAACCACTTATTTCGGAGACCGGTGCTCAGTCCACAGAACCACACCAACCACGGTTCTCCCTACCCTATTTACGAGGTTTTTGACGAAGTGGGTAAGGGCTAGGGGCGGCACGGGGTGGGCAGGTCCAGATTGGGGCGGGGGCTAGAGCGGGGGCGGGGCTAGAGCGGGGCGGGGGCTAGAGCGGGGGCGGGGCTAGAGCGGGGCGGGGCTGGGCGGAGCCCGCCGGATGTCAAGGCCGGGGCCCAGGAAGTGACGGCCCATCCCGTGGACTTCTGGAGTTGGTGCGGTCCCCACTGCCGTCTCCTTGGTCGCTGTGTTCCCGGTCCCTGGGAGATGGAGAACGGAACCGTGTACAGCCCCACCACGGAGGACAATCCGGGCTCTGCCAGCGGCGTCAGGAGCCGCATCGCCGCCTGCCTCAGTATGCGCCGGCTCAAGTGGCCTCAGCGCGTGCTCAAACTTTTTCAGCTGGTGAGTCGGTGGCCATGGCGGGCGAGCCGGACCGGGGTTGGGGGTCTGGTCCCTGGGACATCAGCCTGTGGGCTTGGGAGGCTGCCGAGCCACCTCCCCAACGTGGTCGTTCAGGAAGCGGTCGTTTCCACAGCCCCAGTTCCTTCCCTCTTCTCCTAAGGCAGGGGGCGTTACCCGCCGGCTCTCCACCTTCTCCCCCTGGGCGGCCCCTCGTCCCTGGATCTCTTTCCGGCGGGGACCCAGAAGACGCTCGAGGGCCACCGAGCGTGTTAGGTGGATTCCAGGAAATGCGTTGGAGCAGACCCGAGCGAGACGCTTACCCTGGGTTCATTTCCTTCTGGGCAGCCACCTTCGTTTCTTCTCCCAGCTGTTACCCTGCATTATCTCCCAAAGTTCCTGTAGTTAGACTACGAAGTACTTTTTGTTTATCTTTCTCTGTTTCCTGCGGTTTTCCTGACGCGAGCCAGTGAGGGCAGTTTAATTTGGTGGACAAAGTCTTCTGATACCACGCGCTGGCGCTGAGATGTGTGGGTTCAATAACTTGTCTCCCAAAAGTTTTATGTTGTTTGGAAAAGAACTGTTTCTGAATGGGCAACATGTGCGTACGAAGTGCAAAGTCAAAAGGACATCTTTTTGTGCTTGAGTGCGGGTAGCAACACTCGGGCATGGTATTTTCAGTTTCGTTGAATTTTAGTTTACTGTAGGCAGTGAAGGTACCGTACACCTCTTAGTGAAAATTTCAGAACACCTTTGAGATTTAAATTTTAATTCTCAAATTGTTTGTACACATATTGAGCTCTTATATTCTGTTTTAACCAACGATGAGCAACATTTTCTGCAAGATGAAAAATAAGAGTGCTTAAGTTAAGTTTACGGGATAGTTTGTTTCTTTAAACCATCCCAAGTAAAAATAGCCAATTAGTTTCTTTGGGAAGAACTTAATAGAACTCAGGTAACCAGAACTTATATTCTTAGAACTGAGATGACCTACTTTTATTGGATAAAAAGAAATAACAGTCAGGAAGTTGGCACTACTTTAAAGTCACCAAAATCACATCTGGAAATAATTGGGAAATCACTTGGAGGCAAATGACAGCACAGCCTATAGATCACAAGAGAGTCTGGCTCTGTTTCCCCAGCCTTTTTTTAGGTAGTTTCACACTGGTAACCAGTTAGGTTCCTAGCAGGAGGGGTTCCCTGTATCTTGGCGTCAGCTGTTCCTTCTATCCAGAAGTGATTCCTTCTGTGCTTCCTCTTGTTTGCTCTCCTGTGACTTTCAGACTTCAGCTGTTTCCTGGCGGTAGAGCTAAAGTGTTTCTACTTGAATAGAGAACTCTTTACAACAGAAAAGAATATTAATCTAAAGCATTCCTACTGCTTAAAAAACATCATCCATAATCATCTGTTGCCCATTAAATCTGTTTTCAGTTGCCTGTATTTTTCTTCCTAATTAGAAATAGCAAAGCTAAAGTAAAATTTTTCGTTACCTTATAATTCAATAAGCTATAGTTGTGTACCTTCAGAGTAGAATACAACTAGAAATTTTGGAGGTAGACTTGACTTGGACACACAGAAGAGGGGAGGATGAAGAGGGAAGATGAATTCGCCTTGCAAAGGCTGTTAGACTCTTAGTCCTGCTTGTTCTCCATCATCCATAAGGAGAAAGAGGGAAAGGATAAAAACTGATGTCTCTTTTGGAATATTTATTTGTTTTCGGGGAACTTGTGATGTTACAAGAATGCTTTCTTCAATATTTATTTTAAAAAATTTTCATAGTTATCGCCTTTCATTTTGATGGTTGCCTTTTTGTTCCTGCTTTGTTTGTTTTAATAATAGTTTTACCCCTTCCCAACTGTGTGTTATGGGAGTTACCCAGAAAGTCCAAGTAAATTAAAACTGTCGTCCAGCCTGGGGCAGCAGGCAGTCTCCTTTGCCTTAACTCAAATTCTGCCTTTAGGTTGTTTTTACTTTAGATGATTTATTTTTGAAAATTAAGTAGGATTTCAGAGCTCCAGTAAGGAAACCATAATTAGAAGAGGAGGTACTGTGACAAGGGACCTGCATGCCCTATGACATTTTACTCAAAATGTAGTACATTTCTATGTTTGGGTATGTTATTCGGAACCCATACACCTTAACAGGTTCTCAAAGACCCCAAAGAGACAGGAATATTGCTCTAAAACTTAAAAACCAGAGACCATATACTTAGGAAATCCTTAGATTAGAGTCCCAGGTAGTTGAATTGGATTTCCTCTCAGAGTGCCTCCTAGACTTTTACCAATCTCTGAGGCTCCGTGGGGTGTGTTGGTACAGAACCGAACACCAAAGGGGTAGAGAGTGGAGCCTGCAAACATGGAAGGAGAGTTTAGAGACAGAAGAGTGTAACTAGCTTTTGAGTTATATGTATGTAACTGAGTTGTATAGTTGTGTATACCGTTCGGGTGTGGCCTTAATTTTGTCAAGTGCTTGTTCAAAACATAAGCATCCTCTAACTACCATCACCCTTCCAGAGCTGAAGAAGAAATGAAAGTGCAACTAGGAATTCAATGTAAGGAGTTATTGCAGTCCTAAATTTATGCATTCAGTTTATTATCAGTTTATTCTATCCTTAGATTGCTTTTTAGGCCTATGGATTTTATTTTGTGAGAGTTTTTTGTTTTTGTTTTTGTTACTTTTGAGGGAGTTTGTTTTTGTTTTAGGGGGTGAACTGGCATTTGGCAACCTAATTCTTTGCTAGAAAGCTGGTACAGTGATCTAAATATGTGTGATATTCTCTCCGCAACAAGCTGACATTGTGTTTACGGTGCCGGTTGAGGGTCTTGATGGCTGCACAGTACTATGCTCATAGTAACTCTTCAAGCCTGTAGTTTGACTTGGAATTCACCAGTGATTTAAATTTATTAAATTAGAAATAATGTTACTCTGTAAGTGCCAAGAAACAAATCACTTAGATACAATTTATCTTATCTTGGTGCTCTTTTCATTATTTAAATGTGAAAATTGATATGTACTAAATTAAAAAGGCTCTCCTTTTGCCTTAAGAAGATCCATAATGTCAGCAAATTTTATCTCTGAACCTTTGTAAGAGTAAATGTTTGCTTAAGGCAACGGAAGTCTGGCCTAACTTCAGGCTGACAGATTTGTTTCCTTGAACTACCTATGACTACAAGTTCATTATTCAGAAATTCATATAGTTTTGTAGATGGGGTTTTATAATTAATGGCAAACATTAAAAAGTTTTTTTATAAGAAATTTTTTCATAATAGACTTAAAGACAAATGATGGAGAATTAGTATCTAATACAATGACTGTTAATTTTAAAGAAGACTTGAAGTTTCAGAAAAGGTAGTGAAATTGAAATAGAGGAAGACACAGGGCAGTAATTATCTGAATGTTTAAATCATTAGAACTGTGAGTAAGACCATCTTTTAGTCACTAAGACTTCCCAGATGTGTTGACCCCAGCAAATTGGTTTTAATGTATGATTTAACAGCAAAAGGGGAAATGCACAAAACTATGGTTGTAACCTCAAAAACCCAATTTTACAGGGAAAACCTACCAAACGTACAGAGTCGAAAAATGAACTTATTTAATCATGTTTTCTGGGGGGAATAAGTACAGAGTAGGAGTCAGGAGACCCAGGTTCTTGTCTGTCCCTGGCTAACTTGGGACTTAGCCTGTCAGAGATTAATTCCATCATTTGTAAACACGAAGGTAGGAGCCTATGTGCTCTCCAAAGGCCCCCCCCCATCTCCAAAAGTTTGATAATTCCTTTAATTAGACTTGGGTAAAATTTTATGTCATTAGAAGGAGCCACATTGGTGTCCTGTCCTTAGGTAGTTAGCTTCATGTTTAGTAAGCAATACTTCATATCATGTCTTCATGCTATTGAGAATAAATCGGTTCACCAGATAATAATTGAGTCTTTTAACTTATGAGTTACATTCACCATTATTTCCTTATCCAATTCAGTGACTTTCTTTCTTTTTCTTCTCCTTAACCACTTTGGTATTTAGTGCTGGTAACTACCCATTTCTTGAAATTCTTCCTTCCCTTAACTTCCATGTTTTTTCTTTTTTTAATTAAAAAAAATGCCTGCTTACAAAAAAAATCAACCAAAAAATATGATTAAAATAATATAAGCCACACTACACCCTTCACATTCTCACATCGCCTAGCATCACTGTTCATCAATTTGGAGTATGTTTACTTGATTTTCAAAGGCGTTTTCCTAAGAAGTGTTAAACTTCTTGTGACTTGCTTGTCTGGTGTTCCCTTTTCTTTCCCTTGTGTTCTAGAACTGTGATAGTCCTCCAGGCCCCTCCCAGTCCTTTGTTCCCTTTTCCTTCTGTCCAGTTAAGCCAGGCAGGCAGTCCCTGCTGTCTTCATCTAGAAGTCTTACTGTCTGGCACGAAATCCATATAACCACACCCAACACCTTAACCATTTTTCTCATCACTCCCCATCCAGTTAGGTCAGTTGCCTTATTATCCCTTGGGGACTTACTATGCAAATTCTTGCCTTCTTGTTTGTCCCCCTCCTTGAAATGTCCCCTGCCAGTCCGGATCCTCTGTGTCTCTTGGCTCTGGTCTGAGTCTTGCTTTCCCACGCATCCTTCTCCAGCTACTCTCAGTCCAGGTGGATCTGGACATTTTCCTGAGATTTCCTGAACTTAGATATACTGAATGCTCAATTATGAGGTACAGAATATATTGTGCTCTTACTGTTTTTTTGTACATTGGTCTTATTGCTCTGTCATTACATATTCCTATGCATATTATAATGCTGCATACATAATACTCAAATACACTTCATTTTTTAATGTATTTATCAAGCTATAACTGAAATATAACAGTTTCAGATGTACAACATAATGGTTCATTATTTGAACATTGTGAAATGATTATTTTGTGCTACAGACTTGTTAGTGCTGTGGGAGATTATAAAAGAAACTCAGTAGCATCAGATATAGGGAGTCGGGGAAATTTCCTACTGAATATAGCTCGTAGTGCCAATTTCTTGGCCTTCAACTGGGAATACGAACTAGGAAATGCTCAAATGTGACATAATACCCCTTCAGTCTTTTAGGTTGCTCATGCAGAACCCACCTCTTAATACTGCTCTGAGGCTTAAAGTTAGTAAGAATGAGTCCTGTGAATAAGTTTGGAATAGGACTTGCAATGACTTGACATTGATTGCTTCTGGCCAAGCTGGATCCTGCCCTTTTCTTACTGAGAATAGATAAACAGTCTGTATTTTTACTACAGATAAGTTTTTTTTTTTTGTCATGTAGCCTACACAGATGAGTCTTCTTGACAACCTAATTATTGTAATAAGAATGCTTCAATTATTCTCAAACCCCAATTAGAGTTTTAGGCCAATATCTTCTCGTAGTTAATTGACTTTTATACAACAGGTATATTTTGCAAGCTTCTCATAGGAAAACTCCTAAAACCCCCAAGATAGAGGCAACTACAGGCGAGAACAAGGCAAATGGAATATTCAACAGTATTTTAATATACTCTAATCATGTAAAGACTCATCCTGTAATGATAATTATAGGAGACTGAAAAAGTATCTTTACACAGCGACCTTTGGGAATTTGTCTTGGTGTGTCATTTTATATCCCATGGTTTAATGATTGGGAAGGCCTCTCCTAATGTCTGTCTGAAGGAAGTTGTTTGGAATATACTGGGCAGTTTTGTACTTCACTAAAAGGAAATCATAGCAGTAGGATCTATTTTCATCCTTATATAGATTCTTTTCAGTTGTAAGGCTATATCAATTTTGTATTGCTCAGTAGAAGAGGGGGGAGAACCTTGCAGGTTTAGATACCGGTTTCGGTTTGACCTTTTTTAAAAAACTTTTTGTTTTGAAGTGATTGTAGGTTCACAGGAACTTGGAAAAAAATGTACAGGGAGGTCCTGTACGCACTCACATGCACGTGTGTGTCACTCTTATGCAGCTTTATCACGTGTAGCTTCCTATAAGCGCTACTACACTCAAGATACAGAACTGTTCCATCACCACCGGGTTCCCTCATGCCTCCACGTTATAGTCACACTGTTTCTCTCTCCCCCGGGCACCACGAATTTGTTTTCTACCTCTGTATAATTTTTGTTTTTTGAGGAATGCTATTTAAATAGAATTATGCAGTCTTTAACCTTTTGAGATTGGATTTTTTTAATTTTGCATAATCCTCTGGAGAGTCATCCAGGTTGTTGCATATGTCAAGTTTGTTCTTTTTTTATTGCTAAGTAGTATTCCATGGTATGATGTACCTACCACAGTTTGCTTACCATTGAAGGACATCTGGATTGTTTCCCATTTGGGGCTGTTATGGATGAAATTGTTATGAACATTCATGTACTGATTTTTGCATGAACTTAAGTTTTCATTTCTCTTGGTTGGATGCAGAATGCAGAAATACAGTTGCTGGGTTCATGGCAGTTGCATGCTTAGTTTTTAAAGAAGCAGCTAAACTCACCCTGCCTGGAGTGGCTCAGTGGATTGGGTGTCATCCTGCAAACTGAAAGGTGGCTGGTTCGATTCCTGGTCAGGGCACATGCCTGCACTGTGGGCCAGGTCCTCGGTTGGAGGTGTGCGAGAGGCAGCTGATCAGTGTTTCTCTTGCACATTGATGTTTCTCTCCCTGTCTTTCTCCCTCCCTTTCCCTCTTATAAAAGTAAATAAGTAAAATCTTTAAAAAGAAAGAAAAACTGCTAAACTGTTTTACAGAGTGACTGTACCATTGACCATTTTGTGTGAAAATGTTTTGTAGGATAAGATTTTCATTATATACAGTGAAATGTATTTGTTGATGTTGGTTGCAATTTTGTTGCCCTTACTATATCTAGTTGCTTCTACTGGCCTGACTTGGGTGAGATGGCATTTCCCAATAGGCGTCTGCTTGGGTCATCAGTTATTTTGATTGTTTTAACACTCAGAAGGAAACTCCCTCAGTTTCCATAAAACCCACACAAACTGCCCAAGTGGAACTCTTCACTTTCTTCCCTCCTGTTTCTAGAGAAGAGTTAGTCCCAAACCTGAGCTCTGAATCCTACTTTAGAGAACCTCTTTTCTTCCTGTCTTTCGACACACTCATCTTACTGGTTTCTGCCTGAGCATTTAAACACGCCCAGCTCTTTCCCATCTAGAAATTCCCTTCCCTTTGACCTCATCCACTGCTACCCTCTCTGGACACTATTGAAACCACACTTCTTGCCTGTGCTGTCTCTGTTCTACGGCTTTGTCTTCCCCTCACTTCCCAATATGCGGTACTGTGATCTAAGTTTCTCTATATGACCATCCTGAAATTGTCTGGCTGATGTCATCAGCAGCCTCCTTGCAGCTCAGGCTAATGTGTTTCAGTTTTCTTCTTACCTGACATCTAAGTAGCATTCAGCGCTCAGCACACCTTCCTCTTTGTATAAATATTTTTTTCTTGGTCTACTATCACTTGAACCACTGCTCCTAATTGTCCTTTGCTGGTATCTACCCCTCTGCATATCCCTTAGATCTTGGGGCTCTTCAGAGTTCTGCACAAGGCCTACTTCGCTCCTTCTGGGTGATTTCACTGGCTGACTCCTTCATCTTTATCCCCACTTCAGACTTCTCCCCACTTCAGACTTCTCCCCTGTGCTCCAGGCCTGTTAATCCATTTGCCTCCTAGACATCTGCACCTAACGCTTCCACAGTCCCCCTCATACACAGCATAGTTAAAACTGAATTTATTCTCTCCCAACACCCTTGCCTCTTAAAAAGAAACACAAAAACAAAACTCTTCTTTCTGCAGTGAAGCACCAGTATCTTAATGGCACACATAAAACAGTGGGAGCACTGTTAAAAGCCACTTCCATTTGAGTTGCTGGGCCAACTGGAGTGAACCATTCTCTATTCAGTGCTAACAGCCCTTCTGACCTGCACCTGTCTATCAGACAGCCGGCCGGCCCGTCCTGTGGGAGCATTCTTCACTCCGGACCTCCACCGCCAGTTGACTTGTGTTAGTCCCATACTGGTTTGTGTGAATTACACTTTTTATGATCAGGCATTTAATGAAATATTACACATACTAAAATTGAGTGTGGAAAGGAATTATTTCTATGAAAACAAAATTGAATGCTTTGGTAAGATTGAAAAATAAGTTGCTTAAATACTTGCTGTGGAATAAAGTATGAGCAAGGCAAATGTGAAAGGTTGATAAAACTAGTCCAACTCGAGAAGGATTCTGTTCTCTGATAATCAGTGTGAAGGATCTTTCTCCACTTCAAATAACATCCGTCTGGAAGTGCTAGTCATAAAAAAGGGAAGTGATCAAGGCAGAAAACAGGATGTGGAATTCCAATTTTGTAGGCTCAAACTCAAAGACAAGGCCCATCTCAAATGATTAGTGAATAAATATGCCATTTTGTATTAGGTTAAAATGTTTCAGTACATACTATCATCTTGTTTCCTACACTGTGGGTATTCATCCTCTCTAGTAAGGGCTTCTGCTGCGTTTTTTACTGATTAGCCACTCTCCTCCATTACCATTGCTCTCTCTTCCCTGATGTCATATACCAGCTTCCCAGCTAGATATCTGCTCCAATTTTCGCCCTTCCTCCAGTCCCATCTCCACAGCGTAGCTAGTGAGAACTACCAGAAGCACGAACCTGATCATGTCACCCTTTGCTTTAACACCCTTAAAATCCAGAGTCCTTAAATCTGGCCACTGCTTACCTCTCTAGTCTCATCTGATCATTTTTGTGCTGCTGTCCCCTTCCTTCAAACGGGGCGCTTTAGCCATGGTGACTCACCTCGCTTTCACAGTTCAGCTGCGGGTGGTGGGGTATATGGGTGCACTCTGGTGTAGGAGGGTGCCGTGCCCTCTTTCCTCTGAGTCTTTGCATGTGTTAATTCTGCTTGGAACTTCTTTTGCTGTCTTTAAGCCCCCCAAATTAAGTCTACTGTCCTTCAGGAAGTCCTTCCTGACCCCCCCCAAGTTCAATGGCTCTTCTGTATGCGTTTATAACAACATCCAGTATTTATCCTATTCTACAGCACATGGTAGGTGAATAATTATTTGTGTACCTATCTTCCCTTCAAAGCAACCAGACTGTAAGTTCTTTGCAGATCAGCCATTCTACAATGGTAAGTTTGTTCGCCGTAGTCTAGTCTCCACTATATAAATATTTGAGTGAACAGATGGTGTTTTCTGAATACAGTAGGTTTCTCTAAAAAACACTGAAGTAAAATGTTTTGTTTATTTTGTAGGTGCTGTCTCTGCTGGCCTTTATCTGTGAAGAAGTTGTATCACAATGCACCTTGTGCGGAGGACTTTATTTTTTTGAATTTATAAGCAGCAGTGCCTTTCTCCTGAGTCTCCTTATACTGATAGTGTACTGCACTCCAGTTTATGACAAAGTTGATGCTGAAAAAGTCAGGTCATCGGTAAGCATGAAAACATATAATCCCTATATTAAGAACGTAGCTATTTTGGAATCTTGTATAGTTTTATTATTCAATGTAGAAAATGCCTTCAAAAACTCAGTCACATGAGAAAAGTTGTTCCATTTATGCCTTTAAGCAACTTGATTTCCCCTGCCAAATGGCATGATAGAAGGGGAAAGTGAAATTAGAATGAAAGTGACAAACACTATCCATATTTTACAGTTACTGGTAGTTTAATCTAATTCACATTAGATACTTTTAAAAACTAAGAGTGTGTCACCTTTGATTTCTCACGTTTCAGAGTGTCACTCATTTGTTCTACAGTTATTCATTGTATACCTATTACATGCCAGGCATTGTGCTAGACCCTGGAGATAGAGTAATGAATTAATGCTCTATATTTCTGGGGCTCATAAATAACACAGCGTGTAATTCTACCTATTTTGTTTTGATTTTATTATGAAGAAAATTCTAAGTGAATTAAGAAGGCATTTATTAAAAAGACTTAGTCTGCTGAAGCTGTGTTTTTATTTTAGTATGAGGATTTGTGAAATGACAGATGAGCTTGTTCACATAGGTACTTCATTTAAGGAAGAAAGAATTGAGTAATTTACCTCTTCAATAGCATTTGAATGATCAGTAGTGGTTTGTGAAGAGTTAATTGTACATGTCAGGGCTGACATATGAAAGAATTCACATCTTTGAGGGAAACAGTTAAAAATTAGTGTAAGTTTTTAACTATTTAGAACAAGAAATTATAGGATAATACAAAGCAGTAAGATTATGTTTTTAATGAAAAGGAAGCATTGGATCACATATTGATTAGAGATCTTAAGATACTTTTTTCTATATACCTTTTTGTATCTCTTAAATTTTGTGCCATAGAAATCTATTATCTTCTTTTAGAAGAATTATTTTAGGTTTAAAAATTTTTTTTTGAGAGTCAATACCAAACAGTTAAAAAAATAACTTGGAAAAACAGAGTCTGAATCAAATCCAGCAAGTCTTTGATGAGCGCATGCATGCAGTTCTTGGAATGGCCAATATACGGTGGTTTTGTCGTCTTACCTGAGAACGGCTGCTGTCAGTGCGTGCTGTGTGCCGGGTGTACTTCATATGCTGTGCTTTAGAGCCCTCACACCTTAATGCTCCATTTTGCTGTTGAGGGAACTTAGGTTCAAGGTGGTTCAATAACTTGTCCAAAGTTACACAGCTAGGGTAAAAATAAACTGAGATTTGACTCCAGTAAAGCTCTCCCACTCTGCATTCTATCATATGGCCTAAGCAGAATTCTACTAGAACCAAGGCCCTAGGAACTCTATTATTTTTTTAATCTTCATATTTTTGTATCTTCACCCAAGGACATGCTCATTGATTTTAGAGAGAGGGGAAGGGAGGGAGAGAGAGAGAGTGAGAAGAACGTGTCCCCACTGGGGACCAAACCTGCAAACCTAGACATATGCCCTGACTGGGAAGTGAACCTATGACCTTCCGGTCTGCGGGATGACCAACCACCTGAGCCACATCAGCCAGGGCAAGAACATTAATCTTTTTGACAAGAAACAATATTATAATATTTTCCATCTAGTGTAACAGTCTAGCTAAACAAAATGTAAAACATTTATTACATCAAACTTGATTTAGAAAGTTATTTTCGAGTAAATATTGATTTTAAAATACTGGGGAATAAAAGAAAGAATTTGATTATTTTATCTTAAAACAGCTTTTGTAATATTTTACTGTATTTTTTTTGGGCCTTTGTTTCTATTAAGAGATAATTTTTTAAATTTAAAATAATTGTAATCATAGAGTATATATATTGTGCTTTGTACCTAACTACATAAGGATTTCACATTTGTTTCGGTGGTTTAAAAATCACTTTTACTGTGTGCATAAAATTTTAATGTTCTTAAATTTTAAGTATATTTTCATGTAAGGGAGGTTTTCTGATTTAGAGAAAAGGTTTAGAGTGTGTGGTGGTGGAGTCTAGGGTAGAAGGATAATCTTTTACAAGACAGCATCTTTTCTGTGCTATTGTGGGTCAGATTCTATCAAGAATAACGATAGCCAACATTTATACATTTATTATGTGCCTGGCACTGATCTAAGCACTTTCCATGGATTAACACTAATCTTTAGAATCATCTTATAAAGAGGACACTGTTATTACCTCCATTTGCAGATGAAGCGACAAAGGCACACAGATGTTAAGTAACTAATTCAAAGCCATAAAGCTGGGAAATAGTGTAACTGGGATCTGAACCTCAGTCTGGTTCTAAAACCCATGTTTACTGAATAGTACATTATTCTGTCTCAAAATGACTGTCTTGTTTACCTCTTTGAATGAAGTCCAAATATTAATGAGTAGAATTTTATATATGTATGTAGCAGATTTGAAATAAGATTTAAGGGAATACGAAAAACAAAATACTGCAGAAAAATAACTTGTAGAAGCAAAGACAAAACTCCTTAAATGTTTCAATAAATGTTACGTGAACAATTGACAATAGTATAGGAATTTTATGTTGTATAGTTTTGTTGATATTAGCTTTAGTGGAGATTATATTTCAGAAAACTCAGAGTGTCGCACTTTGGAGTGGCTGTCATTTACCACTGTCTCCTCTGAATCAAGTATGTATGTCAAGCAGTTTTCAGTTGGCATGTAAGACGGAGTGCCCTATAAGATAATGCCTAAGAGAGCACTTGGAAACCCATCAGGAACTTTATCACTGTAAGGTGCATTATGATGGGATATGGGAGCTTTTAATGGTAGTAGGTAGCTTGTCGTACAAGCCCATTTTGGATTACCCACATGGAACAACTGAAAGCAGTATGTTCTTGCAGAAAGTTTAAGTGGCTAAAAAACATGCTATTGGCATAACTTTATTTAGTTAATGATGGATGGTTCTTTTGAGTCTCTTTTCCAAACTGCTTTCAAAACACCAAAGTGCTCTCAAGCCATCCTAGCACAGAATACATTGTAAGGAAAGAAATACACTTTTTTTTTTTTTTTTTTGCCAGAAGTAAGATAGGATTTAATAAATTCTTTAGCTTTGATAATTCTAGTATGTCCTAGAGAAATACACACACACACACACACACACACAACCTTTTGGGGAACTGTTTTATGAAAGGATTCTTTTGTGATGTATTTTCAGAATATGCCCTGACCGAAGCGTGGCTGGTGCTCCCTTCCAGGGCATGCATTGAGCGCTAGGCTTAGGGGAAAGGGAGGAGACAGAGAGTGTGGATTTGGGTCGTGTGAAGGAAAAGAAATAAGTCATTAAAGTTTTTTAAAATAAAAAAGTAAAATATATGTTTCCATCAACCTAACCATACTGTATTCTCTCTGTGTTTTATATATACACGCAGGATTTTTACATTACTGTGGGGATTGGGTCTCTGTTTTTGTTGGCATCCATCGTTTTTGTTTCCATGCATGACCGGACCTCAGCTGAAATTGCTGCAACTGTAAGTATCTAGTATTTTTATCTCTGCTTATTTTTGTTTCATTAGAAATGTGGAATCCAGAAAGCACATGGCAAGTTATATAATATAGGAGAGTAGTTTGTCTTTTAACTTACTTTTTATTATAGTTTTGAATAGAAGACCTGAAAGCAAATGATAGCTTTATATATGATAGCCTGAAAAACCTAGAACCTGTCGTTAGAATTTGAGTTGTGTTAACAAAAGCACATTTACTCCACATATCAACATGTTATTGCTAATGGAAGTGTTGAACTGACCTTATTGTCTTCTATTTCTCTCCTGTTCAGTTCAGCAAACACATCTACTTGCAAGGTACTGCTCCAGGTGTAAAGGATAACACAGGAGAAATGATCCAAAAGTTGAGCCTAATAAAAGAAATAATAAGTAAACATTTCTATTTGAAATCCATGGGTGAGGGGGCAGACTTTTGTTAGAATTGAGAATATTTTGGATTTTAGAAAAGTAATACTGGATATAAACTTTATTGCACCATCCCTTCCGGGTGCCTGGGCCGCACCCTGTTGTCCAGCAAGTGAGTGTTTCTGAAGTGTATGAATATTCCCAGGAAGAGAGATAGGTAAAGATTGTGAATAGTTCTACTTCATGCGAACTTTGTTTGAGCCAAACAAATCATGAAAAGTTGGAGCCTTTCTTGGGTTTCAGAATTGCAAATCAAGGACCAGCGACCTGAATTGGTACCATTGTTCTGAATGTAAACACCTTGGAACTGGATAGCAAATCCTTTTACAAGTCAGCTCATTTCCCACTAATACTTTGTTCATGACAAAATTGAGGTTGTAATTGAGTCATCAGGTAATAGTTCATTAAAACTACTTTTATGATAGAACAACTTAAAAGGAGTTCAAGAATTCTAAGCATGGCTGTAATACGTCTCCTTATTCATGGTTTCTTAGCATTTACATGTATCAAAACAAAACGCAGAAGTAAAATTAATGCTGAACGGGGACTCATTCTAGCAATAAGTAGGATTTTTCCATGGGGTATGTGAACCAACTGAAGAGAAAACCAAAAGTTTTAATAAAGCCTTATGGCTAATTTGAGTATATATCACTGTTTTTGTTGCAGAGGAGGATGATAGGATTGTCAGGAAAATATTTTCAAGTATAGAAATATATTACTATAAAATCCTGTGGAGGAAGTGAAATGGAGGTTGAGGGAAAGTGGAGTTAAGGGGGGGAAAGCATGGCATAAAATTCCCGGCTATTAAAAAAGAGCTTATTTATGTGTTTTAATTAAATGATATATTAGAGTGTTAAAGAGTATTTAGATTTCACTGGATATATTTAAGAGTGACTGGCAGTTTAAAAACTATTTATAACCCTGGCTGGTGTGGCTTAGTGGATTGGGTGCCAGCCTGCAAACCAGGGGGTCACCGATTTGATTCCCAGTCAGGGCACACGCCTGAGTTGCGGGCCAGGTCCCTGGTTGGGGGTATACATGCAAGAGGCAATCGATTGATGTTTCTCTCCCTCTGTGTCCCTCCCTTCTCTTTCTAAAAATTAAAAAAAAAAACTCTCTATAATATGCTTGAGATGACCTTTTGCAGCTATTTAAATTACAAAATATTTTGTAGAATTAAATGAATGAGGGAATTATTATTTTTTTAAATTGTGTAGTATGTGAGCAAAAGAGCTGAAAGATGATCTATCTGGATTATATGGCAGAGGGCCCTGTGTGGACTGGAACTCTGAGTGATCAGAGATGGTGTCACAGGAAGGTGACATCTGGTCTCCCTGTAAAGCATTAACTCCATTAGACATTCCCATAAATTAATAAATGCCATCAGGTGATAAGAGAGTTGGGTTTTGGGTGGGAGGGGTTGATAATTAAATTTAGGCTGGCTGTGTTGGGGACACTGAGGTGAATTAATTAATTTGGAGCTCGGTTTGCTTTACAGGGAAATGAGGCAGAATGAATATTGTGGAGGGTGATGGGGTTGGGTGTGAGGGGTAAAGGGACTGCAGCAAATGACAACAAAATGTTAAAAACCATGGAAGGGACTTCAGCCATTGCTGCATCAATTCTCTCTTTTGATAGAGCACTTTGGCCCTCGTTTCCTTAAGGGTTTTGCTAGTGAAGAAGGGAATTTCAACCAAGGTCTTCTGTCTCTTGACAGAATTCTCAGAATATTGATCATATCTTAGCAGTACAATGAGGAAGTGATTTAAGGAAGAGGAAGTAAATAGTGGTGTCATGTCACATCATCAGAGTGTGACAATAACTGGAAAATATTTGTTAGATAATTTAACATAAAGGTGTCTTCAAAATAGAATTTTTTTATGTTAGTAACTTTTCCTATTTTCACCTAGGCTCCACTGCCTCCTCCCCTGTGTCCCTCATCTCACTTGAAGGGCAACCTAACCATTGCTGATGGTCCTGTTTGTATCATTTTACAGGATTTTGTTTTTCATCTGTCAAAGTTAATTTCATAGATTGGCAGTCCATTCCTGAACATGCACGTATGAGACAGGGCATTTGTTATTTGTGAGGCTGTGCCTAAGCCATTACTCTAGAATTTTTTTTGTAACGTCTTTCCATTTTTTTGATGACCTTAAACATTTTTTTTACCACTAAAGTTAAGATGAAACTAATGAATCATCTTGCTTATATGAAACACTCTCAAAGCCAAATAGGAAATGTGAGATTACATTCTAAAATTCCTTACATAACCGTTGCCCCCTTTTCTCCTCAGGTGTTTGGATTTTTCGCAAGTGCTGCGTTCCTGGCTGACGGCCTTTTTATGAAGCTCTGGGGAAAACGACACCTGTCCCAGATGAGAAAAACTGAGACTGCCACCAGTGAACCACTTAACTCTGCAAGAGAGTAGGGAGCAGGCGTAATGTATGGTAGCGACTGCGTGGTCCCTGAGCCTGGGCAGAAACAATTGCACAATCTAGATGTGCGATTGCTAAACCACTTCTTCTGAAGAGCAAGGGGAAGGGCCTGAAGGCAGTTTTATCAATATTGGACAGCGTGTCAGTTGCCACAGATGGGGCCAGTGGGGTTTGTCTGTCTGGTTGTTTTTTTATAACATTTGAAACTTGTGTCAGTGAAGTTTATTTTTTGTCATTTGGAGGTGAGGGCAGTTGTTTCTTTAAGGCACAGCTCGATGGCTGATAAATTATTTTGTCATTGTTACTAGGCTTAGCTTTCAAATTAGCCTTACAGCGTGCTTAAGTTTGTGCATTTAGACATTGTTTCATTTTGTAAGTTAATGTACTTAGCTATGAGTTTGTTTTTTGATGATTAGATAAAATGTAATGTGTATTTAAATTTTTAAATTCAATATTTAAAATGTTGGTTTAGGTTTTTTCCTTAAAATGTAATCCCCAGGCTTTACTGTATCTCCCTCAGCCTTAAGATTATGTTGCAATCAGATAACTGTTATTGACTCTTTTGTAGCCTAACAGAGAATGTGTGGGAGATGCTGGTATTTTACGTGTGTAAAAGCAACATCAGCACCCCAGCATTTACACTGCACTTTGGTGGTGGTTAATACCAAGTAAAGAAAAAAAAATTTTTTTTATGTAACATAGAAAAATGGAAAAAAACTGTTATTTCACCTAAGGACCAAAGATAGACTTTTTTGTGCAATACAGTGAAATTATAAAAGCAGGCTCTGACCGCTTACCAAATGTCTGAAGAGGTGAGTTCATACTGTAAGAAAGTGGTTCGTTCTATTGGCACGTGATTATTTCTACTGAGATGGATCCAGCTCTGCAGGTCTTCAGTGTGTCCTTTGGAGCCAGCCTTCTTTTGAGAACCCCAGCCTTTGACTTTTCATCCGTTTGATATGCTTGCTTTTCTGTCCCCTTACCCCAATGGTCCGTATAATACTGTGGCTTTGCCAGGCAGAGGCGGACTTCCGGCTCTGACTCTTTCTTGGTGGCGGTTGTCTTTCGGTGGTCCAGAATCCTGGGCCCTCCTGATTGCACAGAGCACCAGCAGGCATTCGGGGGTTTTGTTCCCACAGAACGATGCCTTTAGAGGAGACCTTCTTAAGGAAGCGAATGTCTAGAAATCCTGCCCAGGTTAATACTGCTGTGGCGTAAGGAGTAGTCAGACCATTCTTGAGAGACACTTCACAACCAGTTCTGACAGTTTGGAAGAACTGTCTGTTGTTGGCAGGCCATGGTTTACAGAATACACCTTTCTTGTCCTCCTCCTAGATTTCTGACTCAAAACTTTGCCGTTAAGGTGAGGAGCCCACGCGTCAGGTCCCGCAGGAGTTTGGTGGGGGGCTCCCCGGGAAGGCGTGCGGGGCTGGCTGGCTGAAAAAGTGGAGTCTTGTTTCCAGTGAGGCAGTTTAATGACCCCATCATTTTTTAACTTCTTATCTCCCTCTTGTGTCTTAAAGATTGGTTTCAGCCGCGTAAATGTGGCTAATGTGATTCTCAAAAATTGGTCATTAGGGCCAGACACAGCTTCTGCTCTGTCCGAGTGACTCGGGACCTTATCTATTTGTATCAGAGTTTGGATGCTGGCGCCAGTGGCAAGGTCATCATTACCTGCTTGGGAGATAACGAAGCCAGGCACGATGCTGTGGTGACCGAGCGTGCCATCTAAGAGAGGAGAACTAGCTTGAGTCTTGGGTTCAAGAATAAAGACTGGTTCAAAAGACCTGCTAGCTTACAGTAGACAAGTTCTGGAACTTCCCATCAAACTACTGCACTATTGCCATTTTAAATATCATCTGGACCCAGCTGGGATTCACAGCAAACCATCCGGACTACCTCAGGGTCCCCACCTGTGCGTTGGGTTTAGCTGAGTGTGCGGGCCGTGTCCTCAGCAGCCTCACACCCGCAGCCGGCATTGAGCTGACGTTCTGGTGGTTCGGAGGTTTTACTTCCATGTATTTCCTTGGCGTAGGGCTACTGATCCTTGCCTTTTCGGAAAGGTAATACATTCACTGGTATTTTGGTCACTCTAGAACTTTTTTTCACATTGTTTTTTAGGGGACCCATGACCAATTAGCCTCCCTCTTCTATTGTCGAAGAAATTAGGAGTTAAAAGCCCGTTGTGGTAAATAAGGAGTTCAAGGAGAACTTGAGACCAAAACCACTGTTTTGTACAGGAAAGGACAGACTCAGTAAACTCAAATTTAAAATAATGTTTATTAACACATATGATAAATTTAGTTTGTTACATTTTATACAAATAAACGGTTTAGAAAGGTTTTGAAAAATTATAAGGGAAATGCATCTACAGTATAAAAATTTTGTAATTGCTATAATTAAATTATGTTTGTTTTGGGGACTGGGGAATGTATTTTTACATTGTTTATAGCCAATCATTTTTGTATTTATCGACTGAAATCCTGTGGTTCTTTTTTATCTCTCTCCATGTCAAGTTTTATGGTCGTCTTTTTAAATAAATCCGTCCAATTGTCCATACCTTTGTAGTTGTTTATTCATTACAGAGGCATGGTATTTAGGAGAAAGCTTTCTCCAGAGTTCTAGGCTTTGGCTATACAGCCACGGTAAGTACCTGTATGGAATACAGGGCTGTGGATCTACCCAAGTGCGGGGTACAAGTAGAAAAGAAATAAATCCAGTTCTGACCCTTGGGCTTTTCCTTTTGTTGAAAAGTTGGAATACACATTCAAAGAAGAATTTTAGGGGGCTATGCGTGAAGAGTTTGAAAGGAATTTTATAGACTAAACGCCTTTATACAACCAAAGCAGCACATTTGGACTGTTGATCACATTTCTCAACATGGCTGACAGTGCTAAAAACAAAATAGGCACATTCTCTTTCAGACCGTTCAGTGATTGGGAAAGTGTGAAACGAAACTAGGGTGGCTCCGGGAAAGCTACAACTATTTGTGTAGTTTGCAAAATTCCTGCCTCCAGCCTGTATGAGAATAACAAGGTCTTTATGGTCATCACGAACCCACTGGCATTTATTTGTGCATTCTTCTGAGTCTTGTGTTCTGTTTGGTTAAAGAGCACTAGCAATATACAGTGAAGTGCAAGGAGCAGAAAACCTAATTAGGTGGGTCTTCAACATTAAGGAACATTTATTTCACAAGAAGTCTGAACAGGACAGTTCTGAGAGTGGTAAGTTCAGTGGCTTCAGTGGCGGCACCAGGGAGCCAGGTTCTTTCTTCCCACGGCTTCCTGCCCATCCACCTTGGGCTGCGAGTTTTGGTCCTCAGGACGGACCCTTGACCAGGTAGCAAGACCGTGGCAACATCCACGGGCATCACCCATGAGCTCAACCATGTCCAAAGGCCAGAAAGATTGTTTATTATTCTGTGTCTCTCTGAGGTGTTCCTTTTTTCCCAGAAGCCCCTTGGTGGTCTTCACATACTTGCTTCCTACGAGACAGAAAATGCCCATTTCTAAATCACTCATTGACACGGAGAACGGAATTTCTGTAATTGGCTTTACATAATCAAGATTTCCCCCTTAGGTTGTGAATACCCTTTGAAGCATATAGCCTTCCGATATCTGCACAAAGCAAGAGAAAGGACCATTGGGTTGGGGATAAAGAGTATCTGTAATAGCAAGTTAAGAGCTGTGCCCCAGCTAGGAGAAATAAAAGGCTCAGTTTAAGACTTTTTTTTTCTTTTTTGTGGGCCTGACTACCCCAAACAATTTAAGATAGAAAAACTAACAGTTTTCTTTTTTAGACTGAATTATAATTCTACAGGTAATGGGTATCATAGAAAATTGGTTTAATGAAAGGTGGGAAGTATTGTTCTTCCCCTGATATCTTTGCATGTGGCTACTTTTATTTTTGATTTTTAAAATAGGTCAGACACTGGAAGTACAGAGGGTAACTGCTGTTGTAAACAGCCCCCAGCTTTAGTAGATCATAGCATTTCGCTGTATTTGCTTTAAGGGTCCTTGGTTAAAAGAAGAAAATGAAGTGTCCTGGTCAAATGGCACTTGGAGTGTTGTTCCTTGCACCAAACGGTTGTCAGTTCAATTATAAGTCAAGGCACATACGCAGGTTGCGGGTTCAATCCCAGGTTGGGGTGCATAAGGGAGATGACTGATGTTAAAAATCACATTGATGTCTCTCTTCTGCCCTCTCGTGCTCTCTCTCCCCTCCCTCCCTTCTCTCTCTAAAAATCAAAGGAAACGTCCCTCAGGTGAGGATTAAAGAAAAAAAAAAAGTTTCTTTAAAAAAAAAAGACACCCTGGCTGGTGTGGCTCAGTGGACTGAGTGCGGGCCTCTGAACCGAAAGGTCGCCGGCTCGATTCCTGGTCAGGGCGTGCGTGCCTGGGTGGCGGTGGGGGCTCCCCAGCTGGGGGGTGCAGGGGGCGGGGTGGGCAACCGGGCGATGTATCTCTTGCACACTGATGTTTCTGTCCCTCTCTTTCTCCCTCCCCCTCGCTCTAAAAATAAATAAATAAAATCTTTTTTTAAAAAAAAGAGTATGAAGTACCATCACCTCTAATATTACCCTATTTCCTTTTTCAAAGAAAATAGAATAGTAGACATAGTAAACACTATCTTGAATTTGGTGGGCATCTTTCCTGTCTTTATTGTCTGTATTATCTATATACAAATGTAATCTGTAAACAGATTACATGGTGTTTGTGCTATATGTATCCCTTTAAAGCTTGCATTTTCAATTCGTATTTTGAAATATATCCGATACATGTAACTCTAATTCATCCCTTTCAAGTGTTACTTGGTATTCCATTGTATGAAAGTGTCACAATTTATTTGTCATTCTCCTGTTGATAGAAAAAATTTAATGTGGTTTTCTTTTTGACCATTTCAACCAATGTTACAGGGAACTAACGTACTTAAACGTCTCATGCACATGTGCAAGAGTTTTTATGTTGGGCGTATACTTAGAAATAAAATCATTGGGTCAGAAGGTATGTGAAATGTTACCATGGATAAATATTTCCAGAAGGGGCACCGAAGTGGTAGAGCCAGTTCATAGTCTCATTATCACTGCAGTAGAGTGCTTGCTTCCCCATGCTTTTCTTGTACTTGATATTAGTCCAACTTAATGTTTTTGGCCAATGTGGGACTGAAATGGTCTTTCATTTTAGTCTGCATTTCCCATATAAGCAGTGAGGCTGATCATCTTTTCATTTGCATGTTGACCTTTTAGGCTTTCACACATCTGTGAGTTGTTTGTTTATATCCTTTGCCTTTTTTTCATATTGACGTTTTGTTTATTTGAAAGTTCTCGACATGTTATGGATATTACCTTTTGTTAGTCATATGCCTCGGAAATAATCTCGCAGCCTGTGATTTATATTTTAACTTTGCTTCACTGGTTCCCTCAAGGTCAGCGATGTTCTCCTCTACTTTCTAAAGTGTTTAAAGGTTTGCATTTTATACCGAGTACTTGATTCTGCCTTAATGTTTATGGGTAAGTACCTCACACCATCTGAGTTATTACTTCAGCAAGTGATTTCTTGCTCCTCTGATAGACATTGTTTCTTCTGTCATTTACCAAGTATATGTTTATGCATGGGTCTGGTGCTGGCTTTCTTGGGCTCTTTTTCTATACTATTGTCTAATCCTATAGTCTTTTAAAATTTTTTTTTAATTTATTGATTTTTAGAGAAAGGAAAAGGGAGGGAGAGAAACACTGATCAGTTGCCTCTCGCACACACCCACCTGGGGACCTGGCCTACAACGCAGGCACGTGCCCTGACAGGGAATCAAACCTGTGACCTTTGAGGTTACGGGACAACACCCAACCCACTGAGCCACACCAGTCAGGGCAACCCCACAGTCTTGATAAAATCTTAATATCTGATGGGGCAAGTTCAAAAGTGTTCTGTTCTATCCTTGGCACTTATTTTTTTTTTCAAAGGCCACTTTTTAGAGCAATTTTACACTTACAGTAAGATCAAGAGGAAGGTGCAGAGGCACTATTACCATACATTTTTAAGATGGGGTTGGCAAGTTCCATAAAATACCCTTATTGATTTTTTTTCTTGGAGTTGGGTTGAATTTTTTTTTTTTTTATTTACTTTTTAAATACATTTGTCTCTGCCTCCACCCCCACCTCTGGGTTGAATTTATAGATTAATTTGAGGAAACCTGATTTATGACTGGAAATTACAGTAATGAACATAGGATCCCCATGGATGCAGGTCTTTATTTCTATGACCTTCTTTATAAAATTCTTGTACATCGTTTGTCATGTGTATCCCAGATACTATATTTTTGTAGCTATCCAGAATGGGATCCTTCTTAAAAATTGTCATGCTCTGATTAGATAGTGAAATGAAATGTGATCAATTTTTATTGCTCTTGTATTCAGCAATGTGGCTGCCATCTTTTGTTACCTCTAATGGTTTATCTGTGGTTTCCTGTGGCGTAGCTCACATGTATCTGATGTGCCCTCATGTTATTTAACTTGTTCCTCTATTCCATTATTTCCTCCAAACTGAAAGATAGCTCTAATGGCTTAATTAAATTCAGGTTAGTCTTTTTCTTTTTTCAAGGTTTTCTTGTAGGCGATGCTGTGTATTCCACTACTTTATCAGGCAGAGTGAACTCTCTAGAAGGACTGCACTTAATCAGTGGGGTCAGGCCCTTCCCCATCAGCTTGTTAGATAAAAGGTTCCGCTCATTGATCTTTGTCTAAGCCTGTTATTTTATGAGGGGCTGCAAAATGGTGACTTTATAATTCTGTAATCCTGCTACCTTTGTTAGCTAAAATTCTTCAGTGATATTTTTACCTTTTTAGCATGCATAGTTGACTTTATAAAAACTTATAAAGTTAGCCCTGGCTGGTGGCGCTCAGTGGACTGAGTGCCAGCCTGGGAACCAAAGCATCGTGGGTTCAGTTCCCAGTCAGGGTAGCTGCCTGCGTCGCAGGCCAGGCCTCCAGTAGGGAGCGTGCAAGAGGCAACCACACATTGATGTTTCTCTCCTTCCCTTCCCTCTAAAAATAAATTAAAATCTAAAAAAAACCCCATAAAGTTCACCAGCACTCCTACCCCTCCGCTGTGTTTTTACTGCCTAGTAGTTTAAATTTATCTTGTTTCACTACCTCCTTCAAGTTAGCTATTATTGTTTATGCAGTCAGTCATTGCTTGTTTAGATTTGCTAATATATCTTATTTTTTGACCACGAATGTTTCTTTGGTTTCTACTCGATAGTTTTATATTCCATTTTCTTCTGACCCAAGTGTTAGTTGTCTTTTCAACAACAGTCTAAAAATGTTTAATTTGCCCTTACTCTTCAAAACAGCTAAGCCAGATGTAGAATTCTAGATCGACAGTTTTTTTTTTTATTACTTCGAAGATATTATTCCATTGTCATCTGGCCTCTAACATTGCAAAACATCTGCTGTTAGCCTCCATTCATAGTACATAATTTTTGGTTCTTGTAAGATTTTACCTTTATGTTCGACATTGAGTTTTACTGGAAGATGTCCTTTAACT